AACCATCAACAAAGAATTAAGAGAGGGAGAATGACATTGGAGCTAATGTTTATCAATGGAAGTAATGCTTAATCTTACCAAGAAACACTAGGAAATGGCTTTGATATAAAAAAAGAGGACAAAAATGAAACAATTGATTTGATTTGAATCATCAAATAAAGGTAATATACTGGTAAAGAGGTCTAAAATTTATATTATACACTATTCTAGCATTAGCCATAACAGTTGCCTCGTACAAATTGATATTTGTATCCAAACCAACACTATTATTATATACGTACGGAGCTTGTGAACTTTCTTTGTTTAAATTTTATTCGGATGCAGATGACTAGTAAGTAGGTTAAAGATAATAAAGAAAGAAGTTATTTTTTTATATTTTAATGGTGTGCAATTTTCTTTGTCATTCCATTATATTTAAGAAAAAACAACATAACAGTTATCTATTTGTTCAACCAAATTTAATACTAAAATCATTTGCTCTTGGATCTCTATGTTAATAGCCCTTGCATGTTTTCATGGAATAAGACCATGATATGTGGCCACTTATCATGCTATCAGATGTGCTTCCAAGTTTGTGGAGCAATAATGTATCTCTTCTACACATTCAAATTAAAATTTAGTTACTATTCTAACTAAGACCAATCCAATCAAACCCAAACCTAATCACATTTGACATATTTTTTTCTCACATGTAGTCTCTAGAGCACTGATAGTGAACCTAAGCAAAGAAAAGGGATTTTTCAAAACTTAGCTCTTGGCTCCACTCTATGCAGCAGATCCTAACTGTTTGAAGTGCTGTTGGTGGTAACACTGGAATTATAAAAACATGGGACATGGTGCAAGACATTTCAGAAAAAGCATTTTATATGTGGGCAATTCATTACACAATACACACCCTTGGAAAACTCTTTCAATATCTTCACCTCTAGACTGTGATATAGATAACTTCTAAAAGGAATTGCATGCTTGAAAAAACAGAATAGTTACAAAAATGTTACTTGTTTGCTCACTTAAGGAAGCTCAACCAACAACATATGACAAAGAATTACAAGTTAATGTATTGATAATGCATCTTCAGATTACCACAATGATATATAGTATCATCTTATTACTCCATGAACAATGACTGGCATGAACATCCAACTATAAATTTGAGTTTATACCAAAGCAAGAGCCTCATACAACAAATTTAAGTTTCAACCAAAGATGGTATTTAATATATGTGTCCTCAGGTACATATGTCACCACATCAAAAGGGATAAATACAGTCCTAAATTAAAAATTACACTTTCCAAGATGACTATTAGAAGAAAAGGTAAATTAACATCAAAAAGGGTGATTTTATCATTCTTCACGCCACTTTACCTTTCAACTTAAGAGACATTAGGACAGTCATCGAGATATAAAAATCTAAAATAACAACCATGCATACCTTAACTCTTAGCTGGTTTTCCTGCTCAAGCATAAAAAGGATGCTTTTGTCAAGGTCTTCTTTGTCCAAAAGACATGTAGTCCTTCCAATTGTTAAATCATCGTCAGACTCTTCAGAATCACTAGGAAAAAGAAAGAATACAAAATGAATTGATGAATGTTCGTAGAACAGATTAACAGAAATGTGCAACAGTAAAACAATACAAACATGGATTTCTCTGATAACTTATTTCTGGTAGATACCCATCAAAAGCTTTTTTTTACTTCATAATCCTTAAATCTTACATACTATAACATGTTATGCAATATAAATAATACAAATGGTGTAGATAAGAGTACAACAAATTATCAAAAAGATAATTAATTTTAAACAAAAAGTGTAACTGCAATATATTGCACAGCATACAACCAAAAGGATGCTGCCTGCTATTGTTTCCTTTATCAACTTATGTAAATTACATAGTATTGTCATTTTATTACCCCTTGTATAGCTCCTAGATATATGGCTGCACCCTTAGAATTATTGACTATTAAGTTCCAATTTTCCAACTAATTATCAGGGAAAACCAACAAGAAAAGGGCTAGACTTCGGCAACAGTTTTATATACTCAAAACCTTTATTTTAATACTCAATTGACTATAAAGTATTAAGGTAATCTTTGGCCCTCAAATAAGTTCTGGTGAAAGCTTTTTTGCCACTCTCCCAACATCCCAGTAACACATCCTCCCAAATAGCCTGTTCAAGAGGTAAAACTTCCCGAGTGAAATCACACCACACTAAGGGATATCACACCACTCTAAACTCTTCCCCCATCCCTGGAAAGTTATTTTTTATACCAGAAGTAGCTTATTCTCTTGCTTTCTTTCTTCCTTGAAATAAGCAACTCAATCGCATTTGAAGGAGATATAATTCCTTAAATACTCTTTAACTTTTTGCTCATGGGACCTATAATCTTTGTCATAATTAAAACATTAGACTCTCATCAATGAGAAGGTCATATCATACTGGCAATATTTGGGATAACCTTTGGATGACCTAGCTCATATCAGTAACCTCACTGATATAAAATGCATTTCCATCCACCATGCAACATTCTTCGAGATTGGAAGCTATTAGCGCCATAGTGGCTTCCTCAACAAGTTCTTATATTCTGATACCCCATGTTGCTAACAAAATCAAATGCGCTGTGAATTGCACCTATTGCAATTGACAGATATTGATCATATCTCACCAAATGCTTCTTTACATCTTATTTACAAACCCAAGTAGCCAGTCGTAGGTGTTTGTGATTTTTGGACCAGTTGGAAAAATCGAAATGACAACTGGCAGTGACGTGGTGGGACACCCTCCTTTGAGCTCTCTCATGGAATAATTGTCTTATCAATAAAACATAATTAAACATTAAGATAACTGCAAAATTGAAAGAATAACATGACAACAAAACATCAGAAAACAAATAGCTCAGAATTCGGATTACAATACGAGTTTTACAATAACATATACTATTCTATCTTGTCCTGAATTTCAAAGTTTTCCAAAGATAAGAAATTGATAGTACAAAAAGACTAGAGCAGTAAAGAAATATTATGATCAGAATACTTTTCTTCTTTTTTTTTATTAGCCGATGCAAGAAGTTAAAAGAATCTCAAAGTATGCATCCAAACGAAAACAAGAACCCCATCAACCTTCACCATGGCATCATAATTTTCAATGTCAATGCCATCCACATCTTCACATACTTGACTAAGAAAAACAATCTGGAAAATTGCAGTTTGAAGAAACTAATAAGTTAATTTGGATACCTCATTCTGCCTTTTTTGGTATTTGCAGTCAACTATGCTCTGTGCCAGAAACTAGCAAAACGAATAACATTTAAGCAAAGAGTGTATGCCTGAAATCAAAATCCGGGCAGGAGATCCTCCAGCCAGCCACCATGCTCCCTCCCAGCCTCGTTTTGTCTCTCGCATCCATTGCCTTTTGTCGAGGAGAGACCCTAAATCAGAGAAAGGGACGACATATGAGATCATGATAACCTTATAATGGTCCAAAAATATAGCAGTTGTTCAAGACTGAGGACCATTCGGGGGGTTGCTTGAGAGGCACCGGTGGAGAATTATATCCGAGCCGCGACTCCAGGGCTTTGAGCCCGGACACGAGATCGTCCATGGTGGTCCACGGCTCAGGATCGGCCGAAGCGACCACGAGACAGCTCTTGGGGCACGGGAGCTCCAGCCGAACGTATCCTCTGCAAGAAAAAGCGGAGGGATGAAAGCAAGAAGAAACCCCTAAAAAGGAGAGAGAGGAAGAGTAAGGCAAGGAGAGGAGAGTGGGAAATGAACACGAGGAGGAGCAGAAGGAACTCACGAGCGGTCAGGGGCGACGCCGGAACCGTTGGACGACTCCCACTTCATCTTTGAGGCGGCAGGCACCGGAACGATCGATCGCTGCGCAGCGCCGGGCGAGGAGAAAACCCTAATGAAAGGGAGAGAGTGAGGCCGGGAGAGAGGAGAGGCTAAAAGGAAGAGGAGAAGGAGAAGGAACTCACGAGCCGGCAGGGACGGCACCGGAACCCTTGAAAGGCTCCCACTTCATCTTTGAGGCGGTCGACGCTGCAATGGTCGATCGCTGCGCAGCGCCGGCCAACGGGTGGGGGCAGACGCGGTGCGCGGCAGTGCCAGTAATAATAATAATGACAAAAAGAATAATGGCGATTTCCTCCCACATTTTCGAATTTTCTGATAACGCTTTTTCTTGGAGACTCCTTTATTTTCATAACACCCGTTTCGGTCATAATAATACTTTCTACATCCTACAAATACCAAAATTTTCATTACTTCAAACGTAACTATTTTTATTTGAGACATGATATTTATTATATAATTCATGGGATCTAAGATTGATATTATTCACTATTTATTATACACGAAAAATTAAAAATAAATAAATTCCATTTTGGGTAATCATTTGATTTCCCTTTAATTCTGCTACTCAATTCTGTTTATTTTGAACATATATGATACCTGACCCCTAAAAACATATATAGTTATCAACTTCACCATTCATCAGTTCAATTTGACTGGTTACATTTTTTTTGAAATGAATTAAGTTGTTTTACTTTAGTAGCCACAATAACATATTTTTTATCATATTTCTTCCATAGTGAATGAATAAAAATATTATAACCCTTTTTTATCATATTAATTATTATCATTATAAAATACTATATATTTTTTATTAACATAAGCTGTATTAATAACCCTTTTCGAAATATCAAACAATCGAAGGGTGATCTTTAGTTTCTCCTTCACCTTGGACATCAATTGCATATCGATTGACGATTTACTGACAATATACTCCGAGAAAATTAGGAATTTATCCTTTAGCCCAATTATCATATTTACTAAATCAATTAGCTGTTAAATCAGATTGGTCGTAATTTTTTAATGAGTTATACTATTTTTATTTAGTAATACAAATACTGTATAGTTGAATAATGCAGAAAATAACAATAATGCAGAATAATATATGCTTCATACAGGTTGTTATACGGTAACGGTAATCACACATCTTCAATACTGAATATATCAAAACTATATATCCATAATTCAATATATTATCTCAGCGAGAATGGTTGACTTGGTCATCATTGACTTTCAAAGTCAACAATTTCAGGTTGGGGATTCCACCACGCAGCTTCGACGATCGGTTGCACGGCGGCTTATGCTTCTATACCTGTGGAAGCCTTCGTCCCGCTGCTTGGCTCAGTGAAATCTTACATCCAAGTATACATGAAATACCACGAAGAAGAAGAACAGAGATGAGGCTAACCATTATTAGGCCTTTCTGCTGTACTCGGAACACTTTTAGCGCAGAAACTATCAATCAAACTAAAGGTTAATTCTTGGGGCTAATGCTTAATCTGGGCGAGCATCAGTCGGACCTCCCTGCTATTAGGCCTCGCTTTGGGGTTATCGTAAGTGCAGAAGCATGCAATCTTCAACACCAGTAGCATCTGCTCCTCAAACCCATTGCCCACAAGTGTTCGATCGATCGCCGCCTCCGGCTCCGCCGACCTCATCGCGTTGCTCACCCAATCTACCATGCGCATCTCTTCCGTCGTCCAGTAGAACCCGTCGGTGGGGAACTTGCCGGTGACGAGCACCGCCAGGATGACCCCGAAGCTGTAGACGTCGCATTTGTCGGTGAACAGCAGCGTCTGATGGTACTCGGGCGCGATGTACCCGATGGTTCCCTTCAACCCCGACCTCATGGGGCCGCTCGCCGTGTCCGGTACCACCTTGGCGAGCCCGAAGTCGGAGATCCGGGCGTTGAGGTCGTCGTCGAGCAGGATGTTCGCGGGCTTCAGGTCTCTGTGGATCACCCGCGGGCGGTGCACCACGTGGAGGTACTCGAGGCCGGCGGCGATGCCGAGCGCTATGTTGTACCGCGCCGGCCACTCCAGCTTCCTCCTCCCCGTGGCCGCGCCTCTGATCGCGTCCTGCAAGGTCCCGTTCCTCATGAACTCGTAGACGAGGTAGTGGCAACTCGGCCGCGAAATGTGAGCAAGGAGGGGGAGAAGGTTCGGATGCCGGATGCGGCCGACGGTCTGGATCTCCGACCTGATCTGGCGAATCGTGTAGTTGAGGAGCTTCGTTTCCCCCTCGCAGAGCTGCGCCGCGTCGACGGCCGGCTGGATGATCTTCTTGATGGCGGCGGCGACCCTCCTGCCGTCGACGGCGGCCAATCCAGCCTTGTAGACGACGCCGCAGCCCCCGCGGCCGATGATCTGGCAACCATCGTCGAGCTTCTCCAATAAGGAGAGAAGCTCGGCTTTCGTGATCACGGGGCTAAAGACGGTCAGCCCATCCGCGCTGCTTTGATCCTCGAACATGCCGATCCTTCTACGTAATTTGATTGCTAACCAGCAAAGAAGCATCGGAACTGCAGCCATCAGGAAGCCAACTGCAACCCAGAGAGGCTGGAAACGGAACTTGTCATCTGAATCCGATGAAGATGCAGCAGAATTGTTCGCAGCCACTTCAAGGTGGGAGGTGATGTTTCTGTCCATGAGGAATCTGGCAGCAGCACGATGAGAGATGACCAAGTGGAACGAAAGGTGGAGAAGCAGGGAAAGAGACGAGGCCATTGACTGGAACATGAAGGCCAAAGCCAGTCTTCGTTCATTAAATGCGAAGTAGAATAGGCTGCATTTTTTTATTGCCAATGACTCGTTCCTCGATTGACGCTTTGAATAGCGTCGTATCATTCGCTTTGACTTGTCAGCATCCACTTGTTAGAAGCTCGGTTGGAGAATTCTCAGTCTCATAACTCGTGTTGGAGAGAGTCAACGAAGGCTAACCGAGCATGACTTGCTGATAGTATGCATGTGTTCACGCGTGGAATAGATCATCCAATCTAAACCTGTGGTGGACTGCAACACCATCGGGAGATACAAGAAGGATTACTTATCTTGATCTATGCAACCCGTAGGAGTACACTGATGAGGCTTTTTACATGCAGCAAGCTATTCTTACACACGCTCACATGCCATGAAGTGACGCAGAAGAAACAACAGGTAGCCAGGCAAGCTTAACCTTTTACTGGCTTGCAAGCCATTATTCTTAGACTAGAAAGACGCCTGCTTGCTACTGCTAGTGTTTGATCTGCGCCAGCATCGAGCGGACCTCCTTGCTGCTGGGCCGCTCCTTGGGATCATCCACCGTGCAGAAGATGGCGATCCTGAGCACCAGCAGCATTTGCTCCTCGTACTCGTTGCCCGCCAGCTTGGGATCGATGGCCGCCGTCGGGTTCGCGGAGCTCATCACCTTGCGTAGCCATCGCACCAGGCTGATCTCGTCGGTGTCGTGGAAGAAGGGGTCCGACGGCATCTTGCCGACCACCAGCACCGCCAGGATCACCCCGAAGCTGTAGATGTCGCACTTGGCCGTGAAGCGCAGCGTCTGCCCGTACTCCGGGGATATGTAGCCCAGCGTGCCGGCCACCTTGGAGGCGGTGATGTGGGTGTGGGCGTCCGGCATCTCCTTGGCCAGCCCGAAGTCAGCGATCCTGGCCTCCATGCCGTCGTCCAGCAGTATGTTGGCCGGCTTGAGATCCCGGTGGATGATCTGGGGATTGTGGTGGATGTGGAGGTACTCGAGACCGGACGCGATGCCCAACGCGATGCGGTAGCGAGCGAGCCAGTCGAGGTCGCGCTCGCCGTCGCGCGCGCTGTTGAGCACCGCATCCAGGCTACCGTTCTTCATAAACTCGTATATGAGGAGGTGGCAGTCCGGGCGCGTTACGTGGGCCAACAGCGGCAGCAGATTGCGGTGGCGGATATGGCCGACGGTCTGGATCTCCGATCGGATCTGCCGCATCCACTTGTCGAGCAGCCGGCTCTCCTCGTCGGAAGTCGGCTCAGCGCTGTCCGGGGTGCGCTTCATGATCTTCTTGATGGCGACGACCATGGCCGGGCGGTCTGGCTTGCTGGGATCGGGTGGCAGCTGGGCCTTGTACACCTCGCCGCACCCTCCCCGGCCGATGACCTCCAGGCCCGCGAGCCCGTCGTCCTTCTCGAGGAAGGCGAGGTCCTCGGCGCGCTTGATTTGCTTGGGGCTGAAGATGGAGGGGCCGCCGGGGTTCCTGTACCGCCCGCGGATGCAGTTCACCACCAGCCGGAACAGCACCGAGAGGACGGCCCCGGAGACGATCCCCGCGAGCGAGCCGGTGATGAAACCGACGATCCAGTTCCTCGCGCTCTGCTTGTGGCTGTGGCTGTGATGGTGCTCAGACGACGATCTATTGGTCGAGGAATTTGACGGAGCGAGAGCTGGAGTGGTCTTGGTCTCGGCCAATACGTATCGCTTCGGGAAGGGACTCCGGCGGTGGGCGGATCGGTGAGCGGATTGAGAAGCGAGACGAGAAGGGAGACGGTGAGGGTGGCGAAGGGTCATGCGGCGGAGGGCATGGGAGCCATCGTAGGGATAGATGGCAGAGATGAGAGCAGGGAGGAGGAGGAGGAGGAGGAGGAGTGATGGGAGGAACGCGGTGGCAGCCATTGGCGTCGTCTCGGTGGGTTGATGCCCGGTGGGATAAATGGGGATAGGTGTGTGGAAAACTCGTATCGGCGGGCCCGCCAAATGGACGATTACCGATGGTGGACCCTACAAATCGAACGGATACGATTCGTGGGAAGACTCGGAGGATGACAGAGGCAGTCAAAGGCTTAGTAGACCGCAAGACGTATACATTCCCATCGGCTACTCCTCGTGTTACACCAGCTAGCGTCTCGGCTTTCTCAGTGGGACCCACTTAACTCTCGAATCACTCTTGAGGTGCGCAGGTGGGAACATTCATCGATGGCTCATGGAACGTTTCGGCGTGCTTGACGGGTCGAAAGGTCCTTCCTGCACAATGGATCTCCTCCAAAGCATTCTTCGAAGACATGAAATGGACGGTGGGTGATGCCAGAGAAAGGATAATAATATACCGATCAATTCAAATATCTCAATAAAAATAATCGATTCATGTTGTAAAATAGACATATTAATTCTGCTAATTAAGTGTTATGGATTCCCGATGATTAATTATGATTGTGATTTATAAGCAACAAGATGACTGTTTGGAAGAATCTTAGAATCTTGAAAGGCATGAATAGCCGAATTAGGCATCTTGTCGGAACTCGTCTTGTGATTACACATACGGACACTCACTCTCGCTGTAGTCTACCATTTCCTTTCACGAAAACCATGAAGGTGGGCAAGAATTCTATTGGTGGATCCCTCGAGGAAGATTTGCTATGATTACTTTATCCTGATGAGGTGGATAGCATTAGGGAGATTTCACTTAAAGCCAAGAACGAGTTCTATCATGCAAAGATGAATAGGGACATTAGGCGCTCAGATTGGCTGTATGAACACCTAACTGGGGATACATTTTGCAGATAAACAAGCGAAATAGCAAAGACGTGTTCACAAATAATAAAATAATAGAAGTAGAGCGTGTTGTTGCAATGACATCGCATCTTAGAAATCATGCAACACAGCCTAAGACTTCGGGTAGACGTGCGTTTGCAGCACTTAAAAGAGCAGTCGCATTCGATTGCTACGTCTCGTGTGGCACCGAGGAATACTACCGTGTGCCGTGGAAGCAACCACGGAGGCTGTTCTTCCCCTCACTTGTCTGATGTGTTGTCGATGCTGGAAACATTTCATGTAATCATTTATGTTCTTTTTTTTTTTTGCCAACTATAAGTGAGAAAATCTTCAAAATTTATAGAACTAAATTTCAAACAGAGCCAAAACATATAAATTTATAGGATCAAAATTTATGGCCTCAACCAAAAATAAAGGAACCGATCTATCATCAGCAAATTAATGTTTTATATAAATGAATGTACTAAGTAACTTAACTGATAAAAATCATACCAGATCATGACAAGACTATACCTCATCAGAACATGATAAGAGGGATCAAATTCCGCCTTACCCGCTGTCATAAAAAAAAAATCCCAGATAAAAAATAAATATGGAACAGAAGGAATATACTATATATAACTTTAAAATAAAAAATCAATAAAACAAATATTATCAGAGCTCATATTGACACCAATAGCAAATTTATGTTGACTGTCAATCCTACATCCTAATACAACCAGAACAACATTATTACCGATTTCCAACACACCAGACATCGATCGCTGATCGCTTTAAAGACGACAAAATCAGCAGAAGAACACAACAATATGACAAGGACATGTTTATATTAGTCTTTTAAACTGCCATGTGCCTGTATATCTATCTAAGAACCAACAACCATTCAAATTCTCATCCACTTGACATCCCCGAGCAAATGGTAAGTGGATGTAAGAAAACCAGAAACATGGAATTTGGAGATCAAGTCCCTGTTCTTCTCCATTGGCTAATCCATGGCGTGAACTAGCCGGATATGCCGAGTTTTCCACACGTTGGTGGAAAGAATGCACACAGTAGACCGAGTCCTTCAACCCTTGACTTGCAAGTCAAGATTCGTCCCTGCTACCAACAAGTGAAGAGTTCCAGTAACTAAATCATATTGCAACCAGAAATAGACTACACTGAACAAGATAGTACAAAGTACAAACATGCATTCATTTAATCATTGGACTGGTGATTCTGGCAATTGAACAAGTCCTATTTAGCTAGAAAATATAATATCTCTGATGGGTAGTCCTTTTTTTAGGAAAGACACCTCTGCAGAACACAAAATGCAAGATGTACCATTCAGATAAGCCAACTGAATTGTTGGTCAGTTCAAATGACAAACCAAGAGGGAGAAAAATGTTGACATCAATGAGCAGGATCTGGTTTTAGTATACCGTGTCCGATGGAAGACTTGAAAAGCCCTGGCTTCAGATACTTTTGGCAGAGACAAAGGGACTAAAACTTCTCAATGGCATTTAGGTTAACCAGTAGCTCCACTCCTGCCTTCAAATCAAATCTTATAACAGGAAGAGAACTTATGATAAACTAGAACAACAATCACATGTTAAAAGTAAGTTCATGCAAGTTTCCTCTCTTTTATAGCTAATGAATTCCTATTTTCTCATGTCACATGAATTCCAATTTTCCACTCTTACCATTATTGGTCACGGCCACTCTATAATTCCTTCCTCATAGATGACCCCAAACTTTGAATTTCAAAGTTTTCCAAAGATAAGAAATTGATCGTACAAAAAGACTAGAACAGTAAAGAAATATTATGATCAGAATACTTTTGTTCTTTTTTTTCTTAGCTGATGCAAGAAGTTAAAGAATCTCAAAGCATGCATACAGATGAAAACAAGAACCCCATCGACCTTCACCATGGCATGATAATTTTCAATGTCAATGCCATCCACATTGTCACATACTTGACTAAGAAAAACAATATTGAAAAATGCAGTTTGATGAAACTAATAAGTTAATTTGGATCCCTCATTCTGCGATTTTTGGTATTTGCAGTCAACTATGCTTTGTGTCGGAAACTAGAAAAGGAATAACATTTAAGAAAAGAGTGCATGCCTGAAATCAAAATCAGGGCAGGAGATCCTCCAGCCAGCCGCCGTGCTCCCTCCCAGCCTCGTTTTGTCTCTCACATCCATTGCCTTTTGTCGAGGAGAGATCTAAATCAGAGAAAGCGACAATATATTAGATCATGATAACCTTATAATAGTAAAAGAAATATAGCAGTTGTTCAAGATTGAGGACCATTCAGGGGGTTGCTTGAGAGGCACCGGTGGAGAATTATATCCGAGCCGTGACTCTAGGGCTTTGAGCCCGGACACGAGATCGTCCACGGAGGTCCATGGCTCAGGATCGACCGAAGCGACCACGAGATAGCTCTGAGGGCACGAAAGCTCCATACTAAGTATTAAAAAAGAACTTCTGTAATATTTGATTTAAAAAATACAAAGATCGAACTTATACTTTTCCTTTTATAAGTTTATATAATACTTATAAACTAAGGTGATTTATGCTTCAATTTTCTTTTATTATTATCCACACCTTAAGTAGTGCCTAAAATATTCTTAGTCTTTCTAAGTTTAATCTTAATTCTTTCTAGATACATATACTAGTCGACTCATTTAAGTTTCACTTATCCTTAACTTTATTATAGTGAATTTTAAATGAGCCAAATTAAGAAGAAACAAAATTAAGAATAAATTATATGAGATATAATTCAACTACATTCATGTTCAATATTCTCGAGTTTAAAATTTTGTCAGCATATTGAAGATATAATCTTGAATTCCTCAAATATTATCATACTAAATTTCAATTAGTTCTTTCATTAATATATCAACCAATAACTTATAAAAAAATTTAGATTAATCTTTAAAAAATTTAATACACTATAATAAAGTCTAAATATTATTAGCAATTATTATAAGACTAAGTCTTTTAGACCTTTTTCGATTAATTATTTCAATTATTTGTTCCACAGAACTTAGTAATTAAGTTTATGATTCTTTCAATTAATCTGATTAAGGTCTAACACACCTAATGTAAATTATATACACTCAAACTATTTATAATAAATTAATCCAAAAAAATATAGGGACATTTACAAGACTATAATGAAGGAAGTACCACTATAATAATATACTATTAATGCTTTGAGTTTTTCAAGTAATGTTTTACTATTGATAACATCTTTATTTCACCTTTAAGTGAAATATTAACATATTTAGTGTTCATATAAAAAAAAATTATGGAGAACTGATACCATCCACATATAATAGTATTGTTATCTTTGGGTAAATAACGATAAACTGTAAGGATATCCAAAACAACATCATCCAACTCATCACATAATTATTCGAAATAGATTCTACTTTTGAATTATCTAATTCTCCTGATTATATATGTCACTGTGAATATTATTTTTAAAATATCATTTAAAACTAATTCTTTAATATAATTTTATAAGTTATTGGTTAGACCAATTTGATAATTACAAGACTAATACAATAATATAAAATATAGTTTAATATATTCTACAAATAATAAAATATTTATTGTAAATTACATCTCATAAGCCTATGATCCCAAGGAACTTTGACAATTACCGATCAAATAAAACTTAGAGATATAAGTTACAAATAATATTCATCGAATTTCTTCAATTTAATTTATACTGAAATAGTTCAATAATAATAATGACCATAATAATCATTGAACATTAATTAGTATTAGAAAAAAAAACTCATATGATAACTACAATCATGATGAAACATAAACTATACCTTTATGTGAAAAATAAATATTATTTCATAAGTTCTAACATATACGTGTGAATAACCAAATAAATATCCAAGAATAATAATTGAATTTTTATTTATCAAATGTAAAATTTTATTCATATTATATAAGAAAACTATAAAAGAAAATTATAATTTATATATTTTTAAATTTCACATGAAACCCTTATAGGGCAAGCTCAAAATTGGGCTACCCAAATTAAGCTTATAGATTTAGGCTGACCATTCGCTAAATTAAGCCTATCAAAATTAAAATTGATCAAAATAAAAAATTAATCAAAATTTGATTTTTCTTAAATTCGATCAAAACTTGATTGATCGAATCTAGATCTAATCAAGTAGTCAAAATATAATTATGATTAAGTTTGATTAGAATAAATTAAATTAATTAATTTTATAAATGAGGATATAAATAAAAAAATTCTAATTTTTTGAAGGGTAGACCTATAATTTTTTACTTTGGATATATCAGGGAAATTTCTGATTTCTAGAAAGGTAAAATTGGAAAGCATACACAGGGACACGGATTGAAATTATCTTATTTATGAGGGGTAAAACTATCCTTTAGTAAAAATCCTAACTATTCCTTTCTATGATCACAGCGGGAGGAGCGATCGTTGCTTGCGTAGGGTGTTGTAGCCATCATCCATGGTTGTTGCGTGAGTCGCGGTCACTGCCACCGTGGGCATCTAGTTGACGTTGTTCGTGGCCAACAAATGTTGTTGTAGTGGTGTTGTTGCAGCCGTCTCACGTAGCAGTGCTGCCGTAGCCGCCGCAGGTAGCGACGATGCTATTATTGTAGTCGCACACAGCGCCATTACGCAACCACTACAACCATCACGGGCAATAGTACTGCTACAGCTATTGCACACAATGACGCTATGGAGCCATTGCCCGCGACTGGGCTAGTGACAACTGGAGGTCGTCGCCCTCAATAATATTGTCACCAATAGTAAACTGTCAAGCACAAGGAACCTTACATCATTCGCAAGCAAGCGATATGGTGGACTAGATAAAAAAGCAGATTGACAATAGCGACAAATTGTTCATGCATCGTAAATTAAAACTGATTAACAACTTTTGTCGAGCGAAATGTGCTAACAAATAGATTTAAAGTATTTTATTTCATAACCATGACTCTGATACCAATTATAAGCATAAAAAACCATAATATCTACTATTATATGAAAAATTTTAATACCAAAACTTGAAATTAAATAATAATATATTTAAATTTATGATATTTATCTTTCGATGTCATTCAAAAAAATATTTATCTGATCTATAAGCACATCATCGTTGGATTCAAAATCTATAGTGATGTCAATCTACAAGGAGAATTAGATTCACATTCTCCTCTCTTTCTATCCTTCGTAGGAAGAAATGATGGATTCATAAATAAAGGGGAGATGATAGAAGATTTATAATATCTCGTTGATTGATTTATGTAACTAAAGAGATAAAAAAAATCTATAATCTCTCAATAATACCATCGCACATCATGTTTATAATCTCTAGGATGTTCTATATATTTATAGGCGAAAACGATAAGTAATTAACAGTCTCTCTCATCAAGCTAATCTCCTAAAAATTCTATCGTAATTAGATTTTTATTAATCAATAATCGTAATTAGAATTCAATCATATTCATAATATATCTCAGCTAATTAGATACGGCTATATAATCTAAGAGAGGAAAGTAAGGAATAGAAAGGAGATTGGGAAATGAACACGAAGAGGAGGAGAAGTAACTCACGAGCTGTCAGGGTGACACCGGAACCTTGGACGGCTCCCACTTCATCGTTGAGGCGGCCGGCGTCGGAATGATCGATCGATGCGCAGCGCCGGGCGAGGAGAAAACCCTAAAGAAAGTGAGGAACAATGAGGCAGGGAGAGAGAGGAGAGGGGAAGAGGAATTCACGAGCCGACAGAGATGACACCGGAACCCTTGAACGGCTCCCACTTCATCTTTGAGGCGATCGACACTGGAATGGTCGATCGCATGTCGATCGCTACGCAGCGTCGGCCGAGGGGTGGGGGCAGAGGCGGTACGCGACAATGCCAATAACAATAATAATGACAATAAGAATAATGGCGATTTCCTCCCACATTTTCGAATTTTCTGTTTTTTTTTCTTTTCTGGTAACGGTTTTTCATGGAGACTCCCTTATTTTCATAACACCCGTTTCCGTCGTAAACATTTTTATTTGAGACTTGATATTTACGATACGATTCGTGGGATCTGTGAGTGATATTATTCGCTATTTATTTTACACGGAATGTTAAAAATAAATAAATACCAGTTTGGGTAATCATTTGATTTTTTTTTCAGGTATGCATCCTTTAATTCTACTATTCAAAAGCTTATATAGTTATCAACTTCACCATTGGTCCGAGTGTCATGTTTGATTGGTCAATCACATCAGTTCAATTTGACTGGTTATAATTTTTTTCGAAATGAATTACGATGTTTTACTTTAGTAGCCACTATAGCGATTCAAAATATGATAACAATATCAATCTTGATGTGAATAATATACGCTTGATATTAGACCATATCTTTAATAATGAATATATCAAACCCAAATATTCATAATTTAATATATTATCTCATCGAGAATGGTTGACTTTGGTCATCATTGACTTCCAAAAGTCAAAAATTCGTTGGGGAGTCGACAACGCGGCTTCAACGATCAGTTGAACTGTACAGCTCCTTCCTTGACGCTTCTATCACTGAAGAAATCTTCGTCCCGCTGCCTGATTCAATGAAAAACCACGAAGAAGAAGGAGGACAGCAATGAGGCTAACCATTATTAGGCCTTTCTGCGGCACTTGGAACACTTGTAGCTATATATACATCAAACTAAAGGTTAATTCTTGAGGCTAATGCTTGATCTGGGCGAGCATTAGTCGGACCTCCCTGCTATTAGGCCTCGCTTTGGGGTTATCGTAAGTGCAGAAGCATGCAATCTTCAACACCAGCAGCATTTGCTCCTCAAACCCATTGCCCACAAGTGTTCGATCGATCGCCACCTCCGGCTCCGCGGACCTCATCGCGTTCCTCATCCAATCCACCATGCTTATCTCCTCCGTCGTCCAATAAAACTCGTCGGTGGGGAACTTGCCGGTGACGAGCACCGCCAGGATGACCCCGAAGCTGTAGACGTCGCATCTGTCGGTGAACAGCAGAGTCTGATGGTATTCCGGCGCTATGTACCCGATGGTTCCCGCCACCCCCGACCTCATGGAGCCGCTTACCGTGTCCGGGACCACCTTGGCGAGCCCGAAGTCGGAGATCCGGGGGTTGAGGTCGTCGTCGAGCAGGATGTTCGCGGGCTTCAGGTCTCTGTGGATCACCCGCGGGCGGTGCACCACGTGGAGGTACTCGAGGCCGGCAGCGATGCCGAGGGCTATGATGTACCGCGCCGGCCACTCCAGCTTCCTCCTCCCCGCGGACGCGCCTCTGATCGCGTCATGCAAGGTCCCGTTCCTCATGAACTCGTATATGAGGAGGTGGCAGTCCCGGCGCGTTACGTGAGCCAACAGCGGCAGCAGATTGCGGTGGCGGATATGGCCCACGGTCTGGATCTCCGACCGGATCTGCCGCATCCACTTGTCGAGCAGCCGGCTCTCCTCGTCAGAGGTCGGCTCAGCGCTGTCCGGGGTGCGCTTCATGATCTTCTTGATGGCAAGGACCATGCCCGGGCGGTCGGGCTTTCTGGGATCGGGTGGCTGCTGGGCCTTGTACACCTCGCCGCACCCGCCCCGGCCGATGACCTCGAGGGCCGCGAGCCCATCGTCCTTCTCGAGGAAGGCGAGGTCCTCGGCGCGCTTGATGTGCGTGGGGCTGAAGATGGAGGGGCTGCCGGGGCTCCTGTACCGCCCGCGGATGCAGTTCACCACCTGCCGGTACAGCACCGAGAGGATAATCCCGGAGATGATCCCCCAGAGCGAGCCGGTGATGAAACCGACGATCCAGTTCCTCACGCTCTGCTTGTGGCTGCGGCTGTGATGGTGCTCAGACGACGAGCTGTTGGGCGAGGAATTTGACGAAGCGAGAGCTGGAGTGGTCTTGGTCTCGGCCAATACGTATCGCTTCGGGAAAGGACTCCGTCGGTGGGCGGATTGAGAAGCGAGACGAGAAGGGAGACGGCGAGGGTGGCGAAGGGTCATGCGGCGGAGGGCATGGGAGCCATCGTAGGGATAGATGGCAGAGATGGGAGCAGGGAGGAGGAGGAGAAGGAGTGATGGGAGGAGCGCGGTGGCAGCCATTGGCGTCGTCTCGGTGGGTTGATGCCCGGTGGGATAAATGGGGATAGGTGTGTGGAAAACTCGGATCGGCGGGCCCGCCAAATGGACGGTTGCCGATGGTGGACCCTAGAAATCGAACGGATACGATTCGATGACAGAGGCAGTCAAGGCATAGTAGACCGCAAAGACGTATACATTCCCACCCGCTACCCCTCGTGCTACACCGGCTAGCGTGTCGGCTTTCTCATTGGGACCCACTTAAACGTGGCCCAAGCTCTCTCGAATCACTCAGGAGGTGCGCACGTGGGAACTCGAGGACGGGTGGATCATCCATCGATTGCTCATGTAACGTTTCGGCGTGTTTGACGGATCCAAAGGTCCTTCCTGCACAATGGATCTGCTCCGAAGTATGCTATGAAGATATAAAATGGAGGGTGAGTAATATTGAATGATCTTGTATCAAACCTATCAAGTTGAATGTACTAAGTAACTTATGATAAATATCATATCAGACGATGACAAGACTATACCTCATCAGATCATGACAAGAGGGATCAAATTTCTCCTTACCCGTGTCCCAAAAAAAAAAATCCCAGATAAAAAATAAATATAGAACAGAAAGAATATACTATATATAACTTTAAAATAAAAAAAATCAATAAAACAAATATTATCAGAGGTCATTTAGACACCAATAGCAAATTTATGTTGACCGGTCAATCCTACATCCTAATACAACCAGAACAAAATTATTACCAATTTCCAACACACCAGACAATGATGGCTTTAAAGACAACAAAATCAGCAGAAGAACACAGAACAATATGACAAGGACATGTTTATATTAGTCTTTTACACTTCCATGTGCCTGTATATCTATCTAAGAACCAACAACCAATCAAATTCTCATCCACTTGACATCCCCTTGCAAATGGCAAGTGGGTGTAAGAGAACCAGAAACATGGTATTTGGAGATCAAGTCCTTGTTCTTCTCCATTGGCTAATCCATGGCGTGATCTAGCCGGATATGCCGAGTTTTCCACGCGTTGATGGATAGAATGCACACAGTAGACTGAGTCCTTCACCCCTTGACTTGCAAGTCAAGATTCCTCCCTGCTACCAACAAGTGAAGAGTTTCAGGAACTAAATCATATTGCAACCAAAAATAGACTACACTGAACAAGATAGTACAAACACGCATTCAGATATAATATCTCTGGACTGGTGATTCTGGCAATTGAACAAGTCCTATTTAGCTAGAAAATATAATATCTCTGATGGGTAGTCCTTTTTGTAGGAAAGACACCTCTGCAGAACACAAAATGTAAGATGTACCATTCAGATAAGCCAACTGAATTGTTGGTCAGTTCAAATGACAAACCAAGAGGGAGAAAAATGTTGACCAAATGAGCAGGATCCAGTTTTAGTATACTGAGTCCGATGGAAGATTTGGAAAGCCCTGGCTTCAGATCCTTTTGACAGAGGCGAAGGGACTAAAACTTCTCACCGGCAATTAGGTTAACTGGTAGCTCCACTCCTGCCTTCAATTCAAATCTTATAACAGGAAGAGAACTTATGATAGACTAGAACAACAATCACGTGTTAAAAGAAAGTTCACGCAAATTTCCCCTCTTTTATAGCTTATTTATTCCTATTTTCTTATGTCACAGGAATTCCAATTTTCCAGTCTTACCATTATTGATCACGGCCACTCTATAATTCCTTCCTCATAGACAACCCCAGACTCCAACCCATACTAATTCACACACACGTAAACGTAATTCAACTCAAATTTTAATTTGAGCCCAAAATCTCAAGTTTGTTCAGGGTTTGGATTGGGGATCTCATGACCAAAGTCAAGCTAGGTCGGGTTTGGCCAATCGGTTACCATGGTTGGAATAGGGTTGACGTGCAATGCATTAAAAGGGGATTGAGAGAGATGTGACAAGCAAGAGGCAGTAGTCGAAGAAGAGAGGAATAGGGTTAAGACACCAGAGGGGTCCACACCGACCACTGGCAGACCCACTCAGGAAGGGCAGTGATGGAGATGCAGAGGGCAAGAGCCAATATCGAAGCAGAGAATAAAGTATATTATTAGTCATAGAAGAGGCTACGTAAATAACATGAGGTACAGCGTAATATGCCTGCATTTAGGTTTGATTGGTGGGTATCTGAATGTCAAACCTGATTCAAGTACCTACTTTGCTACCCAATCTTAACCCAAACCCAAATAAACAGCAACCAAACTGGGTCAAACAGGTCAAGTAAGAGTAGGTACTCGAAAAACACTCAATCCAGTGTCATCCCTCGATTAGGGTTAGAAGAGGTGTAGCCTGACCCAACCAACTTGAGTTGATCCCTGATAGACTCCTTCAATTTTTGTTTGTTCATCTCCTCATTCAATAGTATCACTTCTTCTAGGCAATTTAATGGATATTGAATGAATTGAATCTTTATCATGGACCTATCATCAATAAACAACATATTACATCCAATTAGATCAACTAGATGCACCAAAATGACCCTCTCTCTCTCTCTCTCTCTCTCTCTCTCTCTCTCTCTCTCTCTCTCTCACACACACACACACACACACACACAAAGTTTATTCACATGGATATAAACATAGAACCATGTAACATATAAGGAAAATATAACAAACCATATACATGGTGGTAATATACATGTCTATAATACCTTAAAAATCCAAAAGCAATTGTGGAAGAATCCTCTCCAACTGGGTCGGTTCAATTTTATTTATACCCTCTGCCTCAGCAATTATAGCAGTACGTTCGATAGCCTCTGTAAGGAATGGAAACTTTCTTTACTACTTTGTTAAGACCTAATAAAAAAATGAGTGCACATACCTGTTACAAATAGCCGGAGAAGTTCACAGCTTACCCTTAGAGCACTAGGATTAGCTGCATGGAAAAACATTTGAAAAACAAAATTGTTAGAGATTCATTTTTCTTCAGAAAAGAAGTTATAAAATTATCATATAAATGAACACAGTTGAAGCCTTGAAGGTAAGTTCAAAAACTCTGTTATTGCAAAAGTACAATCAAAATTGTTATTGTCACTGGTTTAAAAGGTGAATCTGAATTCTGAAGTTCCACTCAAAATTAGATTCGACTTTTTTTATCTTGGTTGTGATACCCATGACAGCTTCAAAGTCACTGTTCCTACCATAATGTATTGTGGTGACTGTAACCCTAGAGTAGGGCATGCACCTTAATTATGAAGTCATAAAGAGGAATACAGGAAGAACTTTTAATTAATTTCCCAAAATGGACTATTTCCAATGAACCTGTCGGAGCCTACTCCTACAGTGTTTAACAACTCTTCATATACTTGGTGCTATGGTAGAGAACACAAGAGGCAAAATTTAATTGTCTTATCTCACTAGAAGAAAAAGATTTAGCACACGTTGCACCACGATCAATCAACTCTTGTTGATTTTGATCAGTTCTAGCAATTTTTAACCATATGTATCATATCAGAATCAGTTGATACCACGATACAACCAATACCAATCAACATTAAAGGGATCTGCTAGGACATTTTAGCTACATCCACCACCAAGGCCCCTGGTGCCCTTTTAAGTTTGAGCCAAGAAACAGCTCAAATAAGAATTATGACATTTTAAGTAATGCACATGTGCAAGTATTTTCTTTTTTTTATAATGAGCTACAGGATAAAATGTTGCTTTAATTACTTGGCAACATTAATGAATATGTTGGTCCATTATATCTTCCTTACTATGCTTGTTTCTAGCCATGGTGCATGCCATTTTACTTTTTTTTTCTTTTACTTTAATTGATAATAAGTGTTTTATGCAGTATCCTCCATTGAAACTCATCTAAAGGAGATTGAGGTGAAAATTTAACATTCTAGAATTATGATTGAAATGTCCAATATTAAACAATAGATGACAAGGACTCCATCTAATGCAATATTTGGAAATGTGATGCAAGAAGACTACATATGACATACTGCTGGGTTTTCTTTAGAACTTACAAATTGATATGAACTGTTCATATTTATTCTTTATTTATAAAAATGAATCTACAAATCTTATATTATTTCTGAGATACTCTTGCGACTGTGCCTTCTGCCTAAGCCTTCATGAAGTTGCTACCTAACTGCCTATGCATTTGGACAACTTTGCTGCGTTGCTTCAATGAACTTTTTGTTCTCCAAATGTAAAATTATTTCCAAGAAAAATGTTAGAGTAATCCTCTCTTTTCTCCTCTATTTTTTAACAATAGAAAACACAATAGTTTCCTCATATTCTTTTACTCATCAGGTTACTCTAATCTTATTCTAAGTAATCAGTCAATGAGTCAAAAAAGTGCAAGAAATTTAGCAAGAGTACATATATCTTGCAACTGATTTAATTGCACGATATTTTCCTTTTAGCCTTCTCGATCTCAACTCTCAAGGATAATTTTTTGTAAGATAGAATTAAATAAACTTAAAAAAATTTGTAGCAACAGGAGAAGTCATTGGAACTGCAAATTCTAATGATTGTAACATCTGTGACAAACTAACAAGTACCAAATGGTAACCCTATAAAAGCATGACTTCTACTAGAAATATGTTCTCTCATTTTTAATAAGTTTCTCCCATCTTCCCCAAGTCAAACAAGGATAGTTCATTTTCCAAAGCTAATCACGTCTTTCCTTGCTGTTCTAGAGGGAAGAACTATTCATTCAATAACCCAATGAGAAGCAAAAATTAGGGAAAAGACTGAGGTACTTGTTCATTATAGAAAAGAAAGAACAATTTACTGCAATACATAACAAGTATAGGAAATATGACCAGCTGCAAAACAAAGTAACAAACATAATTTACAGAAATGTGCAAGTAGAAAATTAAAGAAAAACACAAACAGGCATCAAGGACATACTTAGGATTGACAAATAATGTCATATGACCAAAAAAAAGACCAAAGATAAAAATACTTGAAAAAGTAATATACAAGCCCAAAAAAGAAAGCTGGACCATCCAAATCATCAATCCCATCAATCTCATATCCCTTGACCGCTGCCACAATTTGTGCTAGATAGGGTGTGTTATTTCAATTTTGTTTCATGGGTTTCGAAGGTGTCACTAATATTGGAATATCTAGACAATGGGTTATATCTAGATGTGAAATTCTCGAAGAAAAGAAGACTCAAGTTATAATTAAAAACAGAGTCTATTTTTATGTGCATATGAATCAATTAAAAATGCAAATATCTTCTCAAAGCAAGCAGCTCTTTGTGTAGACGAGAGGATTTACAGTACCTGTAGTCGGTCGACTTTTCTTGGATGTGCCAGCACCAACCTAACAACTAACATGGAAGTTATTTATAAATCATAATTGTGATAGGAAAACAAACTGTATGTTAGAATTATAACATGCACCAGGTCCAAGCAATGATTTTATAAAGCAGATCATTTACAAAATCAATTGAACTTGAAACATCAGGTACCCCTGGAAGTGTAACAAAATTTATTATGCCTCCATTAGTTTTCATTTGTCTGCAGACGGCGATTGTAATAACATGAACCTTTATGCAATTGCATACGTGGAAATCCAGAAAATGCTTCACACATCTTTCTCTTTTTTATTGTACAATTAATAAATTCACTCAGAAAAGGTAACAAAACAAATAAAAGAAAACAAATTAAGGTTGGGAGCTAGAGACCATTGGAAGTGCATGCACCTAAGGGAGTTTGAATTCAGTGATGCATGTCAAAAGTCTGAAGAACAAAAGATTAAAAAAAAAAAAGAAGGTATGCAAAGACAAGTTAAGAGACTACTTCGATATAACTGGTCACCAATGGGTGAGGAGTTGATGGCTGACTCTTTGTTAGGAGGTGTGGAATAGAGCATCACACTATCATGTATTGCTGCTGCAGCAACAACCATGCAGCGGTATTGCAACTGTTCAACAACGACAATCCTGTTTGTGCAGCAGCCAGACTTTTCAGTTTGTTTAGGTTTTCTTATACTTAGTGAGGCCTGTGGAAGCCTAGAAGTCTCATTTTGCTTAAGGTTTCAGCCTTGTAAGGTTAATGAGCGGAGTTGTCGAGTGGTCATTGCATGGAAGCAAAACCAGGACAAAATAGTTATTTTCTGCATCATTTGCAAGGCATTGGGGTCCAATAGCATGATGTCAAAACATCAGCCATCTTAACCCTCTTAAACCCCCAGGTGGCACAAGACTAGATGGGGTTAGGTGATGTTGACATATTCGGCGAGGTCACTTCCCATTTGTCACTAGTGTTTGGCATGTTTTCAAATTTCAACTATCTTTATTATCTCATAAATGGTAGATTAATAACCTACTTTTCTTGCACTTTATCCACTGGTTACATTACATTCTTTGATTAGGAATAAACAACAAATATTTGTTCTCATCCTACTCTTACTCATCTTAAATTGTTGTCTACATTTTCTCACTCATATTTGTTTGTTTGCAGGACCATTTGATCATTTAGTATGAGATACAAGAAAAAAGATGAACAGAAAGTATATTCAGCAGACCAATGTGTATAGAATTTTCTTTTTTTTTATGCAAAGGGTAAATGACGAAGGTGGGATTTGAGGCTAGGACCTTACAATGTACTGTCAAAGTTTTTACCGGCTACACTAACCGATACCTTCATGTGTACAGAATTTCATAAACATTGTTAACAAAAAGATGAATCTGTTGTATAACCCTAAATCTATTTAGTTTTTTTTTTTCTCTCTCTATGTGTATGCTATGCCCATTGATTCACATGAACAATCAGTTATACCCAAATACAGGGGAGATTCAGATAAATGTTTCCAAATGCTTGTCCAGTGGTATCCTAAAACTTCAATTAAGGCATAGCATCTTTGGATCCCAAAACTAACATACACAAAGGCTTGCATGAGAAGAAGACAACACCTCCACGGTCAATCACCAACTTAATAAACTTTATAGTGATCCTTTTCACAAGAAACCTAATACAACTATAGTTCGCTTTCGAACATAGGAATCCGTACCCTGTTAAAAGGCCTACGAAATTAGTAGGAAGGAACGGCCTCCACAGGGTTCCTGTTGTGTTTAGGGCACATCATTGTTCAATTAAGAGAAAAAATACACAGAAATTCTTGCATTACGACTAAAAAAACAGATAATCGGCTTTTTAGCATTCAACTTGATGATAAGGCCCCATTTAGGGTTTTCCTTTCAAGAAAACAAGTAATAACACCATAAGAAGCCATTTTCCGACCTGGGGATAGCTAACGACAGCAAATAAGTGAGGCTGATCGGCAGACAAGAACACAGAAAGACATAGAGACACACCTCAACGTCGACAACATCGATCTCTTCGTTCCGCTCGGCTCTTCTGCTCCAGACCATCTTGAAGATGGCGTGAATAAGATCCTGAGGACAAACAAAAGAGCAATGCTTGGCGGTCAGGAGCGAAAGGATTCGAGAATCAGAGGCGGCAGGCGAAGGGGCTTAGGGCTCACGGGATCGAAGGTGGCGTCCATCTCGAACCGAGGAGGAAAGCGAGAAACAGCGAGGCAGGGGGTGGAAAACAAAAACCATACGTTTTCCTTAAGATTAGTGCTACATCGTCGTATCAATAAATCACACGGCTCACAAATTCCAAAATTTATTAAAAGAAACTTTTTATTAATTTTTGAAAAATGGAGAAACACGTTTTGCACAAATCGAAGTTAATATGACTTCAAATCTTTCTAAATCCAAGTGATCCTATTATTAATTCTCTGGATTCATATCCTCTCCAGCTTTTCTTTCTGGACGACGGGGTTCGCCGTGGCAAGCGCAGCACGGCCGAGCGTCTTATGGTCGAACGAGCAGTCGTGCGTCTCCGACAGCCGGTGCGCGGCACAGAACGCCCTCCCGCAACGGCACTCGAACCTCGCGCTTAGCCTCCCCTTCTTGTGGCACCGCCCGCACCGCTCCACCACCTTCGCTGGCGCCTCGCCCGAGGAGAGCGACGGGTTCGCCACAGAAGACTCCGCGCCCGCCGCAACTTTCCGGATCTCGGCCTCGACCTCCACGTCGGCAACCGACGGCGCCAACGTCTCGAGCAACTCCTTGAGGCAGAGGTCTCGGTAGCACTTGGAGCAGAGGCCGCGCGTGGCGGAGTTTCCGAAGAAGCCGCAGCCATTGGCGCAGAGCCGCGGGCTATGGCAGAGCTCCCTCGATTCCAATAGCCACTGACAGCTGAGGTCTCTCCTACTTTAAAGCATTGCAAAGAGTGAGAAAAACGAGAGAAGAACATTAGCAGCTTACGAGCAAGATCTTCAATGTATGCCTGTGAGGAGAAGGAAGAAGCAGCAGCAATATCTGTAGAGGTCTTACCAGTAGTCCGTAGCAGATTAGAATTCAGTCGGATGAAAGTTCCTTTCTTTTTCTGTGCATGTCCAAAAGACCTACTCCAACTCGGAATCAACAGCTCGAATCTAAACCAAATCTAGTCCAGGATTTCAGCAACTAAATACGTTCTAAATCTTGTCGGACTTGGATTGGGAGGGAGCAAAAACCTTGATACCAACTGTTGGGCAACGAATGTGCCGAGGCTTGGGAGTCAGGTTCACGGGCAATGTCGGTAGCTTTTTGCGGGATGATTCGAATGATAGGTGCCCGAGCTCTTAAGGAAGGAGTGCCGGTTGGCGTTGGTCGGGATCGGGGCTGATTGGTGACTCATTAGTGTCGGGCGAGTCGCGCTCCCGTGCCGAGTCCCTCACCGTCAATGAGTGGTCGCCCTCCTGCAAAATAACCTCCGTCGGATGGTATCCGATCGTAGCCCATTCGACGAGTAAGTTAGTAACGAGAGGGATTGTTCTTTTCCTTTTTTTTTCTCCCTCTAGCCGGAGGCCAGTCGAGGATTTTATATTATGACGCGAGGGCTAACGGTGCGTCAGACGGCACCGCCCTGAGTCCCTAGGATGGGATGAGACGTGTGACGCAGGGCTCTGACTTGACATGCTGTGTCGGCTGTAACGTGTTCAGGCTATTAAAATATATCATATCACCAGCTACAAGCTTGATCCATATTGACAACATAATCTAAATGATCTAAAAGATACAAAGTTATAGTTACGAGCTTATCGACTCAACACAATTATAAGTTTGATCAATCTATATTCTTAATAACAATAACAAACTCATAAATTCCTAAACCACTCCTTAGTATCATTATGACCTTCAGATCAATAAATGATTCTTATCATTTAAATTTTTATTTTTATTTCTATTATTTTTTAATCTTCATTATCTCTCCTTATATCATTAATAATTTAATTTTTATTAAAGTTAGATTGAATTATCCATAAATAAAATAAATTTCCTATCATTTCTAATAAGTATGTTCTTCCATCTTAGTCTTCTTAGTTGTAGCTTAACTACCTAACATTTAGATTCATAAATCATCTCACAACAGTCATATAGATTTATTTATTTATTTATTTATTTAGGAGATGCATTATGATAGCACAAATTAGTCTAATAATGCCTGATATGTTGAATTGGATAATCTCTAAGAAAAATATAACTACACCGACCAAATGTATCTCTAGAATCAATCTCCTTTACGTATGAGATAAAGTAGGAATTTGATTCCACAAACTTCCAGTGAAATGCTTTAGAAAATGTCATTCGTCATGATTGCCATGCTTTTCATGAATAATTTATATCATCCTTACCATTTATTTAGATAAAAATGACCATATCCACTACGAATTGCCTCCACACACACACACATACACACACATCGGATCGAAGTTAATTTCCTAAAAGAAAGTAAAAGAAAAATGAAGAAGAAAATAGAAAAAGGCAATTTCGAGCTCGCAAATAAATAGGCGTTCCCGAATCACCGCCCCGAGTCTCTCACAGGCCAGACTCGTGGGCCCCAGAGTCCTCTCCACTCATTCACGAGCATAACGCGCGGGACCCACGCGGGAGGCCACGTCGGACATGTCGTGCGAGCGGCTCTTGACTACATCTGCAGCGATTTGACGTGAACTCTCCGCATCTCCTCCTCGCCTGCCCCCGAGGAAGCCGGACGCCTCCCGATCCCTCCTCCGTTCCCACTCCTCATCCTCCGCCTGCCCTCCCCGTCGCCGATCGTCGCGAGGTACTTTTCTCCTCTCCCCACCGCCCCCCCTCCCCTCTGCTCGTCCCCTCCTTGTCTCCTTCCTCCCTTCCCCTTCCCTCCGTCGCCTGCAGCAGCAATTAGAACAATAAGGGCTCTGTCGGAGGGGAAACCTTGACTACTATAATTAGAAATCGGTTGGGTGACAAAGGATCTGCGTGCTTGGTTCGGATCTGCTCCAATTACCTTGGACTGGAATACTCCAGGAAACCGGTTTTGCATCGGAGCTTCGCCGATGCGATGATTGTGTTTTTGTTTTATTTGTCTTCTATTATTGTTACTGTTACTACTATTACTGCTACTATTTCCTTTTAATTTGCAGACTACTGTGGCTAAATAATAGCTTTCTATGAACGTGGCATGTATGAGGACTGATCTCGTAGAAGTACCAACCCGAACGATGGATGATTGAAAACATTAATCGATAAAGCCTTTCTTTTCTCCAAATATATATAGATGCAGGCCTCTTGTTCTAGGACGACCATGATAACTCAATATAGTTGTGTATGAAGAACTTACAAAGACCATAACTTGCGAACCCTGGTCTCATATTAACAGTTTGCATTTTCATAGAACGTTCCAATGACTGTATATGTATGCATCACTTTTGATAAGGAGAAGTTTCCAATTTTCTGCCACTTGTAATGTTTAATTTTCTTACCAGGTGATAACTAGGCTAGGCTAGGCTTTTAAGTCATGTGATTTTAAATGCTTCATAGGGCAGCTTCAGTTGACGAAAGATTTATCATCAGTTTAAAGAATCAATATTCTGTTGTAAGCTGAAAGATCAGAAAGATGAAGAGGGTGTTAGCTGCAAAAATATAAAATAAGATGCAACAAGAAGGGTGTTTATTTTATATGGAATGAATAACTCAAGGTTTTGTTTTGAAACAGATGCCCTAGCTGTACCATGAAATCGTAATGCTCCCCTTGTACAACTTGTCCTCTTCATTGAACTGAGTTGAGCTAGGGATATCTGTTTCAAAACACTGTTTGCTTTTGCATTTTTGCTTGACTAGTTTGTTGATAAACCCTGCTTATTGTATTTTGGTTATTATCTTTATCTCTGCTAAGCATTCTGAGAACAATCTCCTAAATTTTTAATCCTCCCAGACAGTTGCTTCTTTTTATCTCCTTAGCTATCTCCAAATCAGGTCTTGGGACTTCCCATATTGCCACTAATGATTTTATCCTTTTTTATGGGTATTTTTAGTTAACCTTAAATTTGTGCAGATTAGCGGTTACTGCATTTAGATTGTCATAAAAGTTCTATTTATGTTTAATTTTCAATGTAATATTTGTTTGTTGTAATTACCATGCCGTGTAATGTTATTTTGATGTACTTAACAAGTTCTGTTGTTATTCTTCGAATATTATGATTGATGATGATTAGCTTATTTGCTGGGTATGCTATGCTTTGATTTTAGTACTTTTTATATGATACATGTTCATCTTGTTTGATCATATTTGTTTTGATTGTTTAAGCCACTGGTTTTCATTTATTTTGGAACCTGTCATCCAACAACTCCCTTCCAATGGTTGTTGCTGATATTGCTGGCACAGATACAGTACATATGGCATTAATGGGGTTGGAATAAAAGGGTAAAATTGGCAGTACACATCATGCCCAACACAATTTTATTCATTTGTAGTTAGTGAACTTTTCCCTGATTTTATTAGTCCTCCATCTCTCTACGTCACTTGCTATTTCAGTGTAATATGATTTTTCAAAACATTCTGTTCTCAACCATTGCTGTAATACAGTATGAATCAACATCTGACATTCTTGCATTTTCCAGTCCTCTACCAAATGCTATTGACTCTGATTTTTAAGTCCAGTTAAGAAATATGAGTAAATGTATGTTCCGTGATGTTTCTTGCATATTTTAATGCTTCTGTCTTGTTTCACTTAGTTAGTTTTTGTTATGCTGATTGAGTACAATCTATGCTGTCAAAATTAACAGCAGGAATGTTCAGATAACAGACTAAATTATGGGTTGGCTGAGCAAAATTTTTAAAGGCTCGAGCCACAGAATTTCAGAAGGGCAATATCATGAAAAATACAGGGATGATGGAGTCTGGAATGAACCATCTAATTCTTTGGTAATTGCTATGCTTTAGAATTGCTGGTTTCTCTTTTGTTACATTTTCAAGCACTGTCTTTCAGGTTTTCTGTTGCTTCTTAGGAATCATAATTTTGTCACTGCAGTTGTTCCCTGGGTGAAAGATGTATGCAGGATGGAGAAAATAAAAAACAGATGCAAGCAGGAAAATTTAATATAATTCTAACTGTAACATGCCATAAGGAGAAAAGAAATCTACCTAGTGGATCACTTAGTATTTAGTAAATAGCTGGAAATTGCTATACTTGAGTGTTAGCCTCTTTTGATACTCAGTGTTGCTTCTTGTTATTCTTTGATACCATCAGATGCTAAAAAATAAGAGGGTCTGAATGAGCCTGTATTTTGTCGGTGATCTGCTATTACTAGAACTTGTGCTGCTTCTCTGCATTCAGTTTCTTTTCAGTAGAAGAGATATGCTTTGGCTCAACGTGGAAGAGTTACTGTATATCATATTCAGTATTAGTTTTTATCAGATCCCACAACTTTTAGCATATTTGTTATAAAAAGACTCTCTGATCTCTGTGCTAGCTGTATAAACATTGCTTGCACTACTTTATCAAAGAGTTATATCATGTATTGCATTCTTTTCTCCTGCATATTTTATTTGTTACTTTTGTCTCTCTTGGTGTAAATTTGCCAAATTTATTAAATGTGGAGCTACAGACAATAATCTCCAGTTCATGCTGGCCTTTCACTTTTGCAAATGCTATTTTATATAATCAATGTACCACTGCAAGTGTTTGACAGGCAATTTATGCTATTTAATTCATTTCTTAACTAAGTGTGTATAAGTACATGAAAACAGAGTATGCTTCATTTCTAAATTGGTGATGAAAGACATGAATTCTCTGATGATGTAGAAATTTCTACTGAAAAATAAGCAGCTACTCATGTCCCGCCAATTGAAAATGAATCGTGATATATCACAACCGTTTTGCATTTTTTATTGTATTTAGTGATATAGCAATATCATCTTTATTTTTTTATGTAATGTATGATAGACATCACAATAACATAACAGTGGTTTCAAGTTGCTAAAAAAATGTATTTTCTCAGTTTCACATTCTTTGATGATGTTAAATGTCAACACTTCCTATTTTATTCCACAATTGAAAAAATTAGCTAAGACAATTCCTTATATCCTGACTGCAGGATACACTATCAGAGTATGAAAACGATGACATAGACCATGCCATTGCACTTTCCCTCTCAGAAGAAGAACAAAAAAGAGCAAAGGCTATTGGTTAGATCTATGCTATTCCCAAGTGCAGATGATAACATATTTTTCTAGAAAATAATTCATTAACATCTTTCTTAAATAATTATTCATGATGCTGTTCCTGGATGCAATTTTTTTTTATTTGTGTACCTCTCTCTCTCTCTCTCTCTCTCTCTCTCTCCTCTCTAAACAAAAGCAAGCCAGTATAAATCCCATGTTCTTTTGCTTAATGGCTTTCCACAATGTAATGACTTACTCTGTATCTAGCCTTTGATTTTTCTTTCCACAATCTTTGGCTTACTCTGTATTTCAACCTGCTTGATTTGACAGGAATGCTTTTCTTAGGATTAGAATGCTTGAGCATTCTTACTTCCATGATTTTTTAAAGTTTTCTTGTTGTGATTATGTTTTAGAACAATGATCTCTTTGGTAGTTTTTAAATTGCTTCTTTGAAAGATTCTTAGTTTTATCAAATTATTGATTATGCATGGGATCTGGCTGGTCAATTGTTGCCTTATATTAGAAAATGCATCTACCTTGGAGGAAGATGAGCTACTTGCGAGAGCTCTGCAAGAAAGTCTTAATGCAGATTCCCCTCCTCGAGAAAATGGCCATGCTTATCAACCAGTGCCATTTCTCTTCTCATCAGGGTTCAGGTGATTTTTCCTTTAAAAGAATTTTGCTTATCTATTTTATTAAATGCCCAAGAAAAATTATTCATCATATTTTATATTTGTATCATCTCGTTGATTTTTCTCAAGGAATAGTCCATGAGGAAGTCTCAAATGTATTAAAAACAAGAACATTAAGGGCTTCACTGTGTTTCACATGCAAGAGCTGTAATTTCATGAACATGTAGTGATTTTAACCATTCATGGACTTTCCCATAGGATCTATATACCTCAGTGGCGTCATCTAAAACTTGTTGACCACATAAAATTAGTTGGTTGGCTTTTGATGTTTCTAGGTCAATATAGCTTTTGTTTTTAATTAATTATTCATAGAAATAGTTTTGCATTATACTCAACAACAACAAGCCGTAATGTCCTAGTAGCCGAAATAATTTGGCATTATAATAAACTAAATTGTTTCTATTGGCAAAAACATCACTATATTGTAGACCTAATGCTTCTTTTTCTTGGCTGATAAAATGCTGGCAGCAGTAGTTCAGAAGATCGGTCGCTTAACATATCATACCTTTACCATAAAATTAAATAATCTTGCAATGACGAAATGCTGCAACAGTTCCTAGACTTCTTGGCTGTAAACTTTGTTGATTCAAACTTTGAAATGGAGCTATTAAGATCAATGATCCTATGTTGAATTAGGTGGATAAGAATTGTAGAAATTGGCTATCGGGAATTATGGTTCTGTTATGACTCAGGTATGTTTGAATTTATGACCTATCAAGTAGGTTTCAAGGAGGGGGAAAAACCCGTAGTTGCATGGTTACCACATGTTATATGTGAACAAACTTGGTGTTACTCTCTTATTGAATATTATCCAAATTCCATGATAAAAGAATGTCATCTAGTAAATCTGCTGCAAAATCTGCTGCAATGGTGCTGAATGGTGTTTTATTCAGATTGAACCATGTATTATGGTTTAAGGGAGAAGCTATTATTATCTCGATTCTTTGTACTTATGGTTATGATTTCTTTGTTAAGAACTTTCCTGCTTTTGCTGTAGGATATGTGCTGGATGTAATACTGAGATTGGACATGGGCGTTTTCTTAGTTGCATGGATGCTTATTGGCATCCAGAATGTTTTCGTTGTCATGCCTGTAATCAACCAATATCAGATTATGAGGTAAAGAAATAAACATTTATCATCTTTGTCAAAAATTGTCAACTCTGAGACTTGTACTCTTCTCGATACAGTTCTCCATGTCTGGGAATTACCCATACCATAAATCTTGTTACAAGGAGCTTTACCACCCAAAATGTGATGTCTGCAAGCAATTTGTGAGTACTTATCTTGTTAAAAGATTATATATCAAAGTAATTTCATTTTGTTTTGGACTGCCATCAAATTGCCTGAAATTTGAATGACTTACTGATGAATTGTTGATGGACATCAGATCATCATTTATTGCTTGTAATGCTTTCTAGAAATCAAGAAAAACTTAATGGGGTCATGTGATTAACCATTATGAATTGGAAAACATTTCCAGTGATGTATTTATTATTGTATGCCTTACCATGACAAAGGACTTTTTCTGACTTCTTATATGATATAAGATATTGACAAAGTTTTAATTATACAATAACAACAACAATAAGGCCATAAGGTCCTAACTGCTTAGGGTTGGCCATATGAATCTTTCGCTGCAATTGAGCTCTATAAAAATCATATTCTTAATTAAATTAAGAGTATTTAAATCTTTATTCCTCTATCATTTCTCGTATCACTAATATTAATAGTTTTAAAACAACTACAGGTCTCTTTATCACATGTCCATTCTGTTTACAACATCTATAAATTGATATTTTGATTATGTAGTTGTCAAATGATTCTGACTTGTTATTCTACTTCAGTTTTTAGTAGATATTGCTAAGTGAGACTACCTTGTCCAATGAAACATCAGCAAAGCAATATGCTCTCTTGATGTTGAAAATTTTTAATTGCTTATCATCGAAATTCAGGTTTAGTAATGTTTGAAGTTTATGATTTTGTGACTTAGAACCTGTTTAAAGTTCAACTTGTACAATTTTCGTATGAATCAAGAGAGATACCAATTATAGTTTTTGATCACGTTGTAACAACTGTATGGTGACTCGGAATTATAAAAAATAGTTCCCTTTTAATCTAGAGGTTTTACCTGATCAACGTTATATGGTTGGATTTTTTTTCTTCGAAAAATCACCATGAAACAACTTCTGGAACATTATAGTTGGATTTCATTTAGGGCGTCATAAGGGCTGTATGCAACTTAAGAGAAAAATTTGCATTTGGACACTTGAAACTCGATCTTGGTTAGATTGGTTAGAATAAGCTCGGAAATTGGTTCAATTCAGGTTGCCTTACCTGGGTATGTGAAGTCGATGCTAGTGTCTAAGTTTTTGCAGTATGAGTGCTATACAATGACCTGCTGGCCTATTGCACAGGAATGAAGTGTAGATGTTCACCACCTAAACAGATGAATGTATATTTTTTTAATAGATTTTTTAACAAGCGAAAAACCTGGCTTTTGGAATTAAAAGAAAAATCTGAATTCAACAATGTTTATTAATGAAATACTTGAAATTTATTCAGCTTATAAATATCCTTAATGATTACTCTTTTTCTGAACATCTGACCCATGTTTGATTTATCATCATGAACTCTTTTTCAGATTCCAACAAATATGAATGGCCTTATTGAGTACAGGGCACATCCTTTCTGGATGCAAAAGTACTGTCCTTCACATGAAATGGATGGTACACCAAGGTGCTGCAGTTGTGAACGAATGGAGGTTGGTTTAAATACTTAAATATGAGCCTATAGGTCTTAGAAAGTTGGTTCACATCCATTATGCTTGACTCTAGTGCAGGTCATTGGCTCTCCATGTGATTTAGGATAACTTTTTATTTCTTAATGAATTATGTGATTCAATTTTTTAGTCAGTGGTGATGCTTTTTTGCCTGATTTTCTGCAAATTTCCAGCCCAGAGACATAAAGTATGTCACTTTAGATGATGGGAGGAAGCTCTGCCTGGAGTGTCTAGACTCTGCAATAATGGATACAAATGAATGCCAACCACTATACCTTGATATCCAGGAATTTTATGAAGGCTTAAATATGAAAATTGAACAGCAGGTTCCCTTGCTTCTTGTTGAGAGACAAGCTCTAAATGAGGCCATGGAAGGGGAGAAGAATGTGAGCCAAACACATGGAAAGTTTTATCATTCACACTTCATTTTTGCTAGTGATTTGGTAACTTGGTTTTTCTTGGGTGTAGGGGCATCATCATCTCCCAGAAACGAGAGGCCTTTGCCTATCTGAGGAGCAGACTGTTAGCACGGTGAAAATCTACATAATATAAATTAATTTGAATTGTCATGTTTGTTAAGATTCTCTTTCTTTTTCATGGCTTGAACTATTGATCTAAACAGTTTTGAATTACCAAACCTAGATCTTAAGGAGGCCAAGGATTGGTGCTGGAAACAAAATCATGAACATGATCACTGAGCCATATAGACTTACTCGCCGATGTGAAGTAACTGCAATTCTCATTTTGTATGGCCTCCCAAGGTATCGTTTAACTATTGACTTTTGCTTAAATTAGAAATGATTTTAATTCCAATTAAAAATTTCTACATTTTACAATACACCTGAAAACTTTTAATGCCAAACATTGATGTACTTATAGCAAAAAGCTTGTCATTAATGCTCAGATATTTATCAACTCTTTGAGTTCTATATGTTTTGCAATCATTTTTTTATACATTTTTGAATTCTTGTCTGTACAGACTGCTCACAGGGTCTATATTAGCCCATGAGATGATGCATGCGTGGCTCCGGCTTAAAGGTACATATCTAAATTCATAGGTCGTTAATCTTTATTTCCATGTTGTCCTCGGTTGTCTATTGTTGTCCTCATTTTTATGTATAGGTCATCGATTTGGTGTATGATCATATCTGTAGTTTGTTTTCAAATTTCTCCTTCTTGGTTTTCTGTTGAATGAGCATGAGAGCACTTAAGATAAGTAGCTAGCATCTAAATTCATGTATTAGTATGGGAACAATATCGTTGCAGCATCTCAAACTCCAAAAATTGATTTTTTTAGATTTAACAAGGCTATTAGATACAAGATTTGGTGATGATTTTGTAGGTTTATTGCTTTCCTGTCCCTGCCATGATTATTAGTCTGACAGATAACGACCATCTCATAATTGATTTCGAGTGATTGTTAGAACATTTCATAGAGACACTTGACCAGGCTTTGTCTTAAGGTTGATCTGACATAGGTTGGTGGGTGTAAATAAAACGGACCATGAGTTCCTAAGTACAAAGTTTCATAATTCAAGGGTCACATTCTTTAGTACAAAATATCTCTTGTTTGTTTCATGACTAGTTCACAACATAATGCATACAGAGACTACTGGTGCATCGGTTGAATTTTGCTCTACTCTTCTGGTTGTCTTTCAGGCTATCGTTCTCTTAGTCAAGAAGTTGAAGAGGGGATCTGCCAGGTTCTAGCACATATGTGGTTGGACTCCGAGATTATCTCTGGGTCTGGCAGTAATGTCGCATCCACCTCTTCATCCTCTTCGGCATCAACATCATCAAAAAAGGGTTCAAGGTCTCAGTTTGAGAGAAAACTGGGAGATTTTTTTAAGCACCAGATTGAATCAGACACATCACCGGCATATGGAGATGGATTCAGAGCCGGTAACCAGGCAGTTCTTCGGTACGGCCTCCGACCTACTCTTGATCATATCAAATTGACAGGGACATTCCCGTGCTGAACATGGCATGATCTTTTATTATATTAATACACGATTTATAACTCGGCCCTCAAAGTAGATTTCAGGGGATGAAGCCTTCGAAGAAATTATGCTGATAAAACCAAAAGAAACTTTTAGATCTGATATTTGTAAGCTTCATCCACTAATGATTATTCTTTTCTTGTGTACACTTGTTGTTGACTATACCGAATAAGTTTGATCAATTGTGCATTTCAGAGTAAATACTCAAAAAGTATGGCTGTACTGCTTTGACTTGATGATATGACTGTAGTTTCATTGTTGTCTTGTGAAAAAAGAAAGGAAAGAGAATTTGCTGCCCACAGGACAAAAAAACAGAGCAGAGAACATTAAGCAGTTACTATCAGTTGAAGGTGATGGGATTCTGAGACAAGAAAACAAGAAAGAATGCTACATAGAGAAGATTTGGTATGAAGATAAATAACATAAATTGAAGAACAAGGTGTGTGTGTCAATGTTTTCTCTCACTCGTGCTTGATTCGAAATATTACATAAAGCAGAGGAATGTTCTATGAGTATTTCCAATGATTCATTCATTATACATACTGTTTTACATTAAGGCCTTTGGTTGCTCCTAAATGGGTTACTTATATAGTCTACCGGTAGAGTTTACTGTACATGATCTAAATATCTACATGCAGGAAAAGTAAGTCAAAATTGGATTTAGATATTGCTTTTATGCATTGCGTCTTCAGCTTCCAACCTCTCCACCGAGGCATGTTCCTTGCTTTGTTTGCTTTGATTGCAATTACAAGTATCAAGTGTAGATGAAAAAGATGGGAGTATTTGCATTACGCATCAGATGGCATACACTATGGACAGTTAGCATAAAACTAATTGCAGGTGTTTTTAATTGCAAGCATCCAAACCAAGTGTTGTTTTGGGTCTGGCAGTTCATAAATGTCATGGTAATTGGAACCAATTTTTTGACAGTATCGATCCATAGGTATTGTTTGGTAGAACTAGGGATGCTGATGGGCCCTCCTCTTTATCCTATTCCTTATTTAGACGGGACAAATGTGGCGAGAAACTCGTGTGTTTTTCATATTCTTTTAATTAGTTTAAATTAATCAATAGTTATAAATAATAATTTTTTTAATTAATTTAAATTAATAATAATAATAATAAATATTGAATGTTAAATTTATTTATTTTGACATAATAAATAGGCTGTGGGAGAGCGAGTGTGTTATTGTTGGCACCATATTTCCTCGGGTATTAATGAAAATATTTTGTTTAAGATATCATGTTGATATACTGAGGTGGTGGTCACCATACTGGATAGGTTTAAATGGCACCATATCATGATTATGCTAATTGGCCTCCATAGCTAATTAGGTGACATATGTCATATACCAATTGGTTATCTATGTTTTGATAGAATTTTGTTACGAGTCAAATTTTGATTATTTGTTAATTTAGTAATATAATTTGCTTCTCTATAGGGAAAGAAATCTTATTTATGCCGAATCACTATGTTAAGCTCAAGAACTCAATAGTGATTATATGTATCAATAAATGATTAAATAATATCTACTCGACGTAGAGAATATCAGGCATAAGAGACACACGATAGCATTTGGTCATATGACTTAAACTGCACATATAGAGAGTAACAAAGGAAGGACATATGCATGGGCCTTAAGGCATCTCAACTTCAACTTCTCATGTAGGGATTTTTAAATGGAGGAGACATGAGATCGGGATTATGGCATATTGACTTAAACTACTCATGTAGGGATGGTGACTTGAATTGCTTGTGTTATATATTTCAATCGTATGAGACATATGAGGGATAAAAACTTGTCACTTGAAATATCCATGTAGTGAGTATCAAACAGAAGAGATGTATGAAGATAACAAGATATGCTTGCTTGAATTACCCATGTAGAGAGTATCGGATCCATGAGGGAATTAGAACATATCCTGTATAGAGAGTGTTAGACTCAAAAGACGCATGAGGCCATCAGGACATACTAACTTAAACAACTTATGTCAGGAATGTTAAACATTAAAGATACAAGAAGGTATTGTTGTATACTGACTTGAACTACTCATATAAGAAATCATAGGAGATGTGTAAAGACATTGAGATGTGCCAACTTAGATTGCTTAGGTAGATAGTGCAAAATATGGAGACGTGCATGAGTGTTGTCGCATAACAACTTGAACTACCCACATATGACATGTTGGAAGCAGGTTTCATGTAAGGGTGTCAGAATATGTTGACTTGAACTACTTATAAGGAGAGTTCAAATACAAAAAGATGTGTTCGACAAGGGTGATTGTTCGTTCGTTTCTCACTCCCTTAATAGCAAACTCTTCAAGAGTTGAGAGATCTAACATAACCATGCCAATGATGCACTCGACAACTCTCCTCTGATAAATATGCCCCAGACGAACACTAGTGTAAGTTTCTAGCTTTACAATTGTCCTACGTCCTCAATCAAATCAAAAGACCTATTTGGAATTAATAATTTTTCAAAAACTAAAAAGTAAAATTACACTTAGAAATGTTTTCTATCAAAACTAACCTAATTTTTTACTACCTCATCACCTTCTATATAAAGACCTCACTACCACTTAATAGACAACAACATTCGAATAATAATAGAGAAGAAAATAAAGAAGAGAGAGAAACGGAAGAAATGAAAAGAAAAAAAGAAAGAGAGAGAAATGAAAAGAGGAAATAAGTAGGTTTTCTGATTTCTTTTCTTGTTATTTAATTATTATTATTATTATATTTATTAATATGTTTATTAATTTTAAATTAGTTAATCTAATAAATAAATGAATAAATTAAAATAATTAAGACTAACATAAGTCCAAAAGCTTGTAGCCACATGCTTAGTCTACTAGTATGAGCTCATGAAGCACATTAACATAGATAGCCCACGAGTATGTATGCTAAATTGGGTACATAACTAGAGAGACTCTCATTTTATAGGTCATAGAATCTAATCACTTATTTTAGATGTTATGTTGATTGGATACACTAAAGCGATGTCATGTTGTCACCACATTGATTAGGTAGGCTTAAATGACACCATATCATTATTATGCAAGGTGGTCTCCATAGTTAATTAGGTTACATGTCAAGCACTTATTAGTTGTTTATGTTTTGATTGAAGTTTGTTATAAGTTAAGATTTGATTATTTATTAATTTAGCGATAGCATTTGCTCCTCGGGAAGAAAAATCTTATCTATGCCAAATCACATTGTCAAACTCAGGAACTCAATATTAATTACTTGCATTTAGAAATGATTAAGCAAAGTTTACTCAAATGTAGAGAGACTTTTGAGCACTAGGGTGCGTCGACTTGGACTTTCTACGTGGAGATATATAAAAATGTTAGAGCATATTGATTTTAACTATTGTACAGGTATAAGAGACACGATAGAAATGTTGAATCGAAAGATCCATGTCCGGAGGTTCGTGACTGGAAGTTGCCGGGAACCTTCTTGCTCGCTCGGGCCGCCTTTTCCCTCGCTGTTCGTCGCTATTTCCCTACTTCTCCTCACTTGTCGACTTCATCTCGGCAGCTCGAAGCAACCTTTCCGCATGGCTCTGATCGACGTCGTCGCCCTCGTTCTCTACTTGGTCGTTGTTGTTGGTGTCCTCTTCGTCGTCGGCGCCATCAGATTCCGCCCCACGTCGAGATCCAGCTAAAGATATCGAGGCGGTGATCACCATTCGATAGAAAACATCTTTAAAAAATATAATTTAATATTTTAATCCATGAAAAATTACTAATTACAAATAGATTCCCTGATTTGATTATGGCATTGGACAATTATCAAGTTAGTAGTGTTCCTTTGAGATAGGTATATCCAAGAGCCTCATTGAGCATATTCTCGATGTAGTTTTGTTGGATTTTGCTATCAAGGGAGTGAGATACGAAGGATGTTGAGTTACATCTAAGAATTAGAATTTGGTCAATTTCACCGTGTTGGGTTTTTGACGACTATTCTTGTCACTAAAAAACTCCAGTATATGGTGGGTGGGGTTCAAGCGCATCTAGTGCTCTTGTTTTTTTTTATGTTGACTAGTGAGGGTCGACTTTTGCGCTCTTGACTAGCCATATGAGATAAGGGAAGGAAAGAGCATTGTCGAGCCATACGAAGAAGAAGGCTTTGAGCTTGGGCGACAAGTCATCCTTTGTAGTCAATACCATCACCGTCCCGACCAGCCAGCATTCTTCCGTGCAAGAATGGATCTCGCTATTGAACCCCGACCACCATGAGCAGCTCAAAGCAATGCAGACTATATACATACATATATATATATATATATATATATATATATATATATATA